GAAGTCTGACACTCAAACCAGAGGCACTACCAACCCAGACTCGACATTGCGGTCGAGCCATCTCATCGTGAGTGGAAAGACACGATGCTAGAGACATCCACCGTAACTGAAATAGTCCGGCGATTTCTCCCATGCACCACGAAAGCATTAACTCCCACGTGGCATCACCATGCTTCCGATTGTCATTCCACGTTAAGAAAACTCTAGGACACACCGTCCTTGACCTACTAACATGTTCAGGTACCCGTGCATCGTCCTGCGTCCGACCGAGATCGTCCACAGTCAACATGGGTCTCATTCCAGGTTTTTGGCCTCAAGTGAGCTTCGAGCTTTCCCCCTGAAAAAGAGTCGACCGTCTCAACCACTGCATATGAGTTTTGCAAGTTGCACCGACATCAACTTCTTTATGGCAGTGGTTGAGCACCCAGTTGGTTCAGACCCCTTGCGAGGAGTGATCCGATTGGGTTCTCCTCTTTTTCCCTGGTTCCAATAAGCCTGAATCCTACCCTCCCCAACCCATGGGTCAATGACGCCGCCTCGCAACGAGGGGGGCCACCTAGCCATAGGCGGATTGGGATACGAAACCGACCGCATATTACCAGTGTCAAGAAGTTTGTAGGGACCGAGCGGACCCAAAGAGTAACCTTCCTCCTTGGGTATTCCACCTTGCTTGTGGTTCGAGGGCCAGTTCCTCCTCTCCCCATTTTACCAGGCGATCCTCCGCACCTGGAGAGCTTACCGCCCTCTCCGCTGGGGTCTGTGCACACCAACCCTCCGAGGAGAGTCCATGCGCACGTCTCACAGGACGCTCCCCCCCGGATCACAGAGTGCCGCCCTCTGTGGCCCGGGCCGATGCCTCATAGGACCTCATGACAAGCTCGACTTCATACCTAGATAATCCGCCTTGCTTGTGGTTCGAGAGCCAGTTCCTCCTCTCCCCATTTTTCCAGGTGATCCTCCGCACCTGGAAAGCTCCCCGCCCCCTCCGCTGGGGTCTGTGCACACCAACCCTCCGAAGAGAGTCCATGCGCACGTCTCACGGGATGCTCCCCCCTGGATCACAGAGTGCCACCCTCCGTGTTCCGGGCCGGTGCCTCATAGGGTCTCATGACAAGCTTAGACTTCATACCTAGGTAATCCGCCTTGCTTGTGGTTCGAGAGCCAGTTCCTCCTCTCCCCATTTTCCCAGGTGATCCTCCGCACCTGGAGAGCTCCCCGCCCCCTCCGCTGGGGCCTGTGCGCACCAACCCTCCGAAGAGAGTCCATGCGCACGTCTCACGGGACGCTCCCCCCCGGATCACAGAGTGCCGCCCTCCGTGGCCCGGGCCGGTGCCTCATAGGACCTCATGACAAGCTCGACTTCATACCTAGGTAATCCGCCTTGCTTGTGGTTTGAGGGCCAGTTCTCCTCTCCCCGAATTATTACTACGGAAAGGCCTCGGATTACCTTGGCTTACCGACTTTTCAAGCAACCGTCCTACCCAAAGATTAGTGAGAAGAGGTGAAAAGCCACTTCCCCCTAACCTTTTTAGGCTAACCACCTGGATTACGTTGGCTTACCGTCGTTTGGCGCAACCGAGTGACCCTTGCAAAGGTTCGGGGAGAGGTGGAGCACCCCTTCCCCCGGATTTTCTTAGGCCAACCACCCGGATTACGCTGGCTTACCGTCGTTTGGAGCAATCGATTCCCAGATGCCAGGGTTGGGGAGAGGTGGAGCACCCCTCCCGCCCAGTATTCTTAGGCCAATGACCTGGATTACGTTGGCTTACCGTCGTTTGGGGCAATCGATTTCCCCGTGGCAAGGGTTGGGGAGAGGTAGAGCACTCCTCCCCTCCGTTGTTCTTAGGCCAGTGACCCGGATTACGTTGGCTTACCGTCGTTTGGGGCAATCTATGCCCACATGCCAAGGGTTGGGGAAAGATAGAGCACCCCTCCCCTCCGGTGTTCTTAGGCCAATGACCCGGATTACGTTGGGTTACCGTCATTTGAGGCAACCGTATGACCCATGCCAGGGGTCGGGGAGAGGTAGAGCACCCCTCCCCTGCAGTATTCTTAGGAAAACCACCTCGATTACGTTGGCTTACCGTCGTTTGGGGCAATCGGTTCCACCATGCCAGGGGTTGGGGAGAGGTAAGGAGCCCCTCCCCTCCGGCATTCTTAGGCCAATGACCTGGATTACGTTGGCTTACCGTCGTTTGGGGCAACCGGATGCCCCGAGCCAAGGGTTGGGGAGAGGTGGAGCACCCCTCCCCTCCTGTATTCTTAGGCCAATGACCCCGATTACGTTGGTTACCATCGTTTGGGGCAATCGGATGGCCCATGCCAAGGGTTGGGGAGAGGTGGAGCACCCCTTCCCCCCCCCGTATTCTTAGGCCAATGACCTGGATTACGTTGGGTTACCGTCGTTTGGGGCAATCGGATGGCCCATGCCAAGGGTTGGGGAGAGGTGGAGCACCCCTCCCCCCCCTCGTATTCTTAGGCCAATGACCTGGATTACGTTGGGTTACCGTCGTTTGGGGCAATCCGATGGCCCGTGCCAAGGGTTGGGGAGAGGTGGAGCACCCCTCCCCCCCCCGTATTCTTAGGCCAATGACCTGGATTACGTTGGGTTACCGTCGTTTGGGGCAATCCGATGGCCCGTGCCAAGGGTTGGGGAGAGGTAGAGCACCCCTTCCCTCCTGTATTCCTAGGCCAATGACCTGGATTACGTTGGGTTACCGTCGTTTGGGGCAATCAAGTCCCCGGAACCCAAGTGATGGAATCCATCCGGATCGGACCCCGGATGGGTTTGATCGAACCCATTCGGATGGAACCCATCCGGATCTGGATCGATCGAACCCATTTCAGATCTGGATTGATCGAAACAATCCGGATCCGGATCGATCGAACCCATGTGGATCAAACCCATCCCGATCCGGATCAATTGAACCCATTCGGATGGAACCCATCCGGTTCGGGATCAATCGAACCCATCCGGATCCGAGTCAATCGAACCCATTCGGATCAAACCCATCCGGGTCCGGATCGATCGAACCCATTCAGATTCGGATCAATTGAACCCTTTAGGATCCAAACCCATCCGGATCCGGATCGATCGAACCCATCCGGAACGAACCCATCCTTATCGAACCCATCTGGATCTGAGTCGATCGAACCCACTTGGATCGAACCCATCCGGGTCCGGATCGATTGAACCCATTTGGATCCGGATAAGTTGAACCCATTCAGGTCGAACCCATCTGGGTCCGGATCGATCGAACCCATCCGGATCCGAGTCGATCGAACCCATTCGGATCGAACGCATCCTTATCAAACCCATCCGGATCCGGATCGATCGAACCCATTTGGATCAAACCCATCCGGATGCGGGTCGATCGAATCCATTCGGATGGAATCGATCCGGATCCGAGTCCATTGAACCAATCCGGATCCGAGTCGATCGAACCCATTCGGGTGCGGATCGATCGAACCCATTTGGAACCGGATCGATCGAACCCATCTAGATCCAGATTGATCGAACCCATCCGAATCGAGCCCATTTGGATCCGGATTAATCGAAACCATCCCGATCCGGATTCACCAGACCCATTCATATCGAACCCAATCTGGATCGATCGAACCCAATCGGAACCGGATCGATCGAACCCATTCGGAACCGGATCGATCGAACCATCAAGGT